ATACCAAAATCTTTACATACTTTGGGATTCACCTCATCAGACCGGCACTGTCCTTGGCATGATTTCGAATGAGACGTTGCTCTCTTTTCTCCCATATTCTCCTGTTACTCTTTCGCATTCATAGCTTGCATTCACTTTTTATGTTTGTGACCATGCTCTTCAAAAATAAATGATAATACTAAGAATACTAAGAACTTACTGAACAATTTAAAAAAGAAGACAGTACTATTACGACAACAGAAAAAGTAACATGGCAAGCGAAAATAAATTCTCCTTTAACGGCTAGCAAACGAGATTTTTTCTGCCTGTTAGGTTCCATATCTTCCAAAACCAGACTATTTAATAAGAGCATTTAACCTAATTTAAAGCACTCTTCGTTTTATTTGGTCCCAAGCCTAACAGCTCGTCATAACTCACCGTAGAGACTGTGGTGTACGTCTCCCCGAAAGAAACGAATTGCGTCAGCCAGTTCCATATGATCACAGGACTGGGCCACCTGAATCGCTGTTTGGTTTGACACATTGATGAGAGTCGGATCGGCTCCCCATGACAACAGTCGCATGACCGCATTACGTTGTCCAGCTGCGGCGGCCACGTGAAGTGGCGTGTCATTGGTTGTGGCCATGGGATAGAGCTTATTTGCTGGCAGACAAGCTGTTGTCCCATTTGGTGGAACACACCGGCTGTTCACATCGGCGCCGTACATAATCAAAAGGTTAATCTGTTCCACTCGGTTGAGCCGCGCAGCCTAAAAAGCAAAGTCCAAAGAGGACAGTGTTGGTGAAGCACATCACACGATTCCATAGAATTTTTCCGGACATAATTGTGGAAAAACCACCTGCCATCTAAACAAGTAAAATATTGTCTTCACTAAAACCATAGGTTGTTGAGTATTTCACTGAGCAACATACTGAAATGAAACACTCATTCCTTGGGTGGCCAGATGTCTTAATAGATTGCTACTGGATGATGATCCGTCTTATACATCACAATTAGTCTCCGAACGAGAATTACGAAACTGCGGCGATAAATTGTGTTCACTCTTGTAACAGGAATTCAGAGTAAGCAGATTTTCGGGGGCAACTTTCACGTCCGCGCAGTTTTGTGCAGCTAACTTTCGAAGCTAGGCTACTTGGGTTGGAAAATGTTCCCCCACTGGGTTCAAATAAATCAAATCTAAGCACAACAAAGTGGATGTAGTGTGAAGTTGGCAAGACGAGTGAAGCACTGGCATGTCACCAACATTCGAACAAGGGCTGTAGAAAATCAAGTTCGTTATGCGTACCACGGCAGTTTTCCACTAAGTCATATGTTAATTTTAAAGGACCACCACATTTAAAACTCACGATTCTGCATACGTAAGCTGTAGATCACATCTCCACTTACTAAGCGTTTTCTGCGGTTAAACAAAACAACCAAAAGCGTAGCGTGTCTTAATAAGTAAAACGTGATCCCTGATAAAATCGCCCACTGGTTTGAGAACCTTCAGCAATGTCATGTTAGTTCCGGAGGCGTCGTGAGGAGTTTTACAATATCCCGGCTAGATAGATGGATAGATAGATATCACCTAGATGCTATCTACTTTGAGGCATAGATCTTTAAATCTTTTCTCACGTGTGCTATGTTTTCGAGTATAGAAGCAGCTACGGGTGTGCGTACAACTCAATAAACACGTGACCCACTTAGGTGAGAGTGCGCATGGATCAATGCGTAAGAGTGAAAATTAGCACCGATCGGTTAGGCTTTTAAGTGACCTCGTAGTTCATTTAGCCTACAAGCAAGCAGATATGTTCTTACCAAACAAAAACACATGGGTGGTTTCGCGTGTGCCTAATAAACTGCTGCTTTTGAAAATCGACCAGCATCTACCTAAAGAAGCACTTCCTGTTTGTTTACCATTAGAAAATATTCTACAGGGCATCGTACGTTAATTGTTTAGGGATACTGAGTTGACTACTCTGTTTATATGGATTTTATCTCACTGGCTAATCCTAGCATCATGCTCTTCAACAAAATATGGGTGAAGCGCAGGAACAAAAGTCTTACCCATTCTGTGTTGTTGGTGACACACTAAAAGTGAGACAAACCTCCCCGATCTGTTGAGAAAGCAATGCATGTTTAAAATACCCTTCAATCAGAACTTTGCAGTAGTCTGCAAGTCGCTAGTTTAGTGTTCCCTCTGAAAATTATTCAGTTCCAAGATAGGCCACCTTCGTCCGACGATCTCATCCCCACCATGCCAGATCCACCAATTACCTGATTTCTAAGATAATTGTTTCTCCCGGCAAGCCACCAAGACGACAAAGCTGGCTGGTCAGCTACTGTTCGAAAACGGAGCGGATAATGATCCAAGATTTTGTACTCAACGAGTGCACATATAAATCAGTCTGAACCACTGTTGACCATTTTATAATTCAACTCTTCCGGAATTCCATTTGTTCTCGGTTCCTTGAAGATCACAACAACGCCACCAATAAACACGGATCCATCTGCTTTTCTGATTGAGGTTTAGTCTCTGTTAGAATTCTTGGCCAAAAGCACATTGGTGTCTTGTCTAAGTTCAAGAACATGCCGGAAAAGTGCGAGCCTCTCAGGACTCTTCTGTATGCTAGTAAACCAAGTGTAAAGTGTTGCTGTGGCCGGAGAGTTGGATACGTAGATGCCCTTTAATGAGAAAATTGATCGGAATGTTAGTGGGGCAGCCCATCACAACACACTGAATACCGAAAACAAATTCTGAAATGAACTGGTCTTGACAGAACCTCAACAATAATAGATGCATACTTCAGGCACACTCAGTATCCAGGTTTTAGTCTGTATTGTTGCCTTTGAATCACGAAGTTGATTTCTAACCGAGTACTTAAGTCCAGACATTCTACCGTCTGGTCAGTTAGGGGAGAGTATATCGCTCAAAATATGGAATTCCATGGCGGAGTTTGGACTCGGATTTGAAAACTGTTTAACGAATACAATCAAACTAGTCTTTCTTAGCTGATGTGATAACCATCACCGCTGGTCCTGTGCTGGCGATGCTAGGTTTAAAAGTTTGCTTTGTCATCAAAATTAGTTCATGGGTAAGGAAGCCACCATGATGAACAAGCGCGAAGCTGACCAAATCTACTAAAACAGATAGCATAGATTACCGGGGTCAATCGCAGACCGTATTACTGGAGAACAATGACTGTCTGCGAAAACCGGTTATGGTTGACTATAATTCGAGAGAAACAAGGAGTCAGTTTATCCCAAGCACGTGGACAGCCACAGAGAAATAAAGACGCATACAGTAAGGGTCGAGTTTGAAAACCGGGAGCTTTGCCTTGATAATATCACTGAAATCTGATTGGGGCGTGTGGCTTCGATAATGATGCAACACCCAGACGTTAAAGTACTATCTAGCTTCGATAAAACTTGACAGCTGGCACAATCAGTACAGCCTGAGACAGCGCACGATTGTAACTACCCCCACGATTTGTACTTGTGGATGCAACCAGCTTCCACTTAAGTCTGAACGCTGCATTAACCACATGTCACTAAGATCCCACTAGAAACTGAACTGTTAAAAAATAGTCTACAATCAGACACGTTGACCCCGTAGGCGTGTACCAATTACAGGCCTCCTTGGCCATCTCTGATATGTGGTGAGACCTCGAATCTCACTGATTTTCAACTTCGGATCTTGTCTGTATATGACGCGCTCTCCTGTTACCTGTCTGGATTTGCGTTGTCCGTGAGAAGAGCTGTATGTACATCTGGACGGTTTGTCGTCACCTACACTGGGGAATCTCAGGTGACAGAAAGATAAAGCTGAGACGACCGGGAGTAGGACTTAAACCCATTTATGTTCCATTCAAATTGGGCCAAAAATCTCCAGGCTGAATGACATTCGCACAAACTTTTTCCTACCCTGCAGTGGTGTGAATATGTAGCAGGCAAGAAAAAGTATTTTACGCTAAAGAAACGGAACCCCTCTCACTGCCGCAGATATCAAAGCGGTGAAGAAATAATTCTACGTTTGGTGTTAGCTAGAGGCAAAACAGAATCTCCAACCGTGCACTGTACAATCGCTGACTAGTTGAAATAATATTTAAGATATTGAAACTTTTTCTACGAATGACTTTGCGCACATAGGGTCGGGAGATAAAAAAAGAGAGAACCGTGTATTTTGTGAGTTTATTTGCAACTTCTGAAGGTGAGCTCCGGGTCAAACGTACTTTGTGCACAAATCAATGCCCTAGTCAGTGCGTAAAACGCAAAGCGTTGCCGAATGCTTTTCAGCAATCCCATTAAGTGTCAAAAACAGAGGGTGACTTCTGAACAGTGCATTAAGCTGAGGAGTACTATGGATGTAAGATCCGGCTGAGCTTCAGGTGAGCTTCCCATTGACACAAAATTAATCCGCCAAAATTATCCCGTCAGATGGGTAAAATTCTGTGTTCAAGTAGGTCATATGGTTGCTGCAAATTCGAGAACTACACCTAGCCGACGAGCTCCAAAAAGAGCTAAACCAGTGGAAGACTGAAAACTTATAAGTGGTGTATTATGTCGATAACTGAGTAAAAGTTTTGCCACAAGAGGTCATTATGCCATCACTTATGACACATGGGAGTTGTCATAAGGGGTGAATACTCGATGCCATTCCGAAAGGACATCCAATTTGGGCTAACGAAAATCCACTCGACAGGATGCCCCTGTCGATATTGACCTCCACCAATTCAGAAATTTCCGTCCTAGAAAAATCAGATATTTTTGATGGATGGAGAATTAGAAGACTACCTTCTTTAGTCGAAACACATTAATTCGGTGGTCCACAAAAATGCTTTCCAATTTCACGCAATTCTTTCCCGTTCATAGTGCTAGAACGATCACGTTTTGGCATTAGAAGGCCCTCAATAAGTGCTTGTATTTCGGTACAAGATACATAGCTATACCATGGATGGAATAGTTTGTCTCATCACACATTTCTGAATGTTTGGGTACCAGAATAATGTTTTCAGGCCTGGTTTATCACCTTCAGTGGTGTCTTTGGTTCAGTCAATCAGAAACTTTATAAATTTTCTCAGAAGGATATCGAAAGCTGTTGGCTGCCCTTTACGGACACTAGTTTAATACTAATTTACGGATAGAAAGATTGCCAACAAATGTGCTATCTTACGGGACTGTTTTGTCAAATTTTCTCTTCTTGTTCTCTACAAAAACTCTTTGAAACATGATTACTAGTGCATTTTTCCTAAAATCGCGGATGACAGTACCGCTAGTAGAGCAGGTGCTGCAATACTGGACGTCTTAACACATTAAGGCCGCGTGTCAATGGACACAGGAAGTCGCACTGCAGCTACACTCATTCAAATACAGCCAGATTGTGTTTATACGGACACCTCGAAGGTTACCTGAGGCTACTTCATTTATCGTGGCTCCATTTACTACCAGTGATTGTCCATTAATCCAAGTTAATTACATAAAATATCTTGGTACAACTTTCGCCTTCTGAATCGACATGGCATTAACCACTTGACAAAGTTGTCATAAAAATCCGGACGCTGAATTACTTCATACGGCGGCTTCCACTCCAAAGTTCTATCGATTCGATGATGCAAACTTTTACATCTGTTATGGCTCTCACGATTGATTTGTATCGTCCACGAGCTGCTTTTGACAGACTACTGGAAAAGAACCGTGTTACCATCCAACAGTGCATTCGGACTTTTCAAACTGTTAGTAATAGTCTCTTTATTCTCCAGTAGTTACTCT